CAAGAGAGATTACGTAAAGGTGCAAATTTCCAATGATGAATGTCATTATATTGTATACCTACAATGTACCAATGATTAAAATGAATAATTGGTAATGCAAAATAAGAAGCAAAGGTCCAAAGGAGTAGGGGTAGTGGGAGGGGAAGGGGAAAGGAAAGAAGGGAAAGGAAAAATTATGAGAAATGGAAAAAAAGGAGACAAAGTCTTCATAAATAGGGAAGGGTGGAGGGGGTGAAGGGAGGGCTGGGAATGGGGAAAAAATAAGAACAAAGAGACATCACGTAAAGGTACAAGATCCCAATGAGAAATGTAAATGTATTGTATACCTAAAATGTACCAATAAAAGAATTTAAGGGGAAAAAAAAATCCCCAAGATCTTATCCCTCCCTGTTTCTTCTCACTATGAAACTTCCTATTCACTGTCTTACATTCATGAGATTTTAGCTCCCATCCCTGCGATAAGATCAGTGTCTTCATTCCCAACTTCCACATTCTAGGATGGAAACACCTCTGAGGCCTAGTACCTTAAACACAGCTCAGACATTTTCTCCTTCTATCCCAGTGTCTTAGCCATCTTTCTCATTGCTGGGACAAATACCCGACACCCCCACACATTTTAGAAGTTTCAGTCTTTGCATGGTTGGTGGCATGGTGGAAGGGTCTGGGTACCGGAAAGCTGCTCACCTCATGACGGACAGGAAACAGAGTGAAGGGAGGAACCCAGGAGGGAGAACGCCCTTCCAAGTCACACCCGCAGTGACCCACCTCTTCTGACCAGACCCTACCTTCTGACAGCAAGTCAGCTGTGCCACACCCATAATTCCATCACCTTCCTAAAACCCCACCTCTGAGCAAATGAGGCTTTTTGTTTTTGATCTACATATAGACCATAACACCTAATAAGGTCTATTCCATGTTGTTTCCCTGTGTAGTTTGGGCTGGCCTCAAACTCACAGTGATTCTCCCGCCTCAGCCTCCCAAGTGCTGGGATTACAGCCCTGTGCCCCCCCCCCCCCGCTCCACAGGTATTTAATAGTAGAGCATTCTCAAGTTGAAAGCCCAAAACCTCTGACTCTCAGATTGTATTGTGTTATGAGGATACTTGAGAACTTTATTGAAATTGTTATTTTCTAGGTCCTGTCCTACTTCTATTAAATATTAGTTTCTGAGGAAATCATCTTTCAAAAGGTTACCTGCCTTTATTTTTCTCACTTTTTCTAACTCACTGCCTCCAGGATTATCTTTAAGCATAGGTCATGGTCCCTGTCTCCTTAAAGACTGTCATGGCTCCCTATAACCCACGCTCTGTGGACAGTGGACCCACATGAGCTGGCCTTACCAGCCTTCCTTCCTCCTGCATTCTCGCATCCACACAAACCACGATGCTATCTGACAACTGTCTCTCAAATATGCCACACTGTTACTTTCTTTATATCCTTATTCCTTTTCTCTTCTTCCTTACCTAGTCATTCCTTAACATCCAACTTGAGTGAAATGTCCCTCTACTATAAATCAGTTACTTCTTTATTGGAAGATGTAGGATTCTTTTCTTTGATTCTTTTTTTTCTTTCTTTCGCTACTGGCAATCAATCCCAGGGGAACTCTACCATTGCCAAGTTTCTTGAAAGACTTCCCTGGTGCCATGACCAGTCCCTTGCACAAGTCCCTTGGCGTTTGGTAAATGTTAAATGAACAAATGAATGTTGAATGTGAAAAGAAGCTATGGCATTTGGAGGAACTCAGATAATAGACCCACCTTTTTTTTTTTTCTTTTTGAAACTGTCTCACAATGGAGTCCATTCTGTAGATCCCTTTTTCATTTTTATTTCATTTATTTTTATTTATTTGTTTGCATATTTATTTTTGCAGCTCTGGGAATTGAAACTAGAACCTCATGCATGCTAGGCAAGCACTCTACCACTGGACTACATCCTCAGCCCCTAGATCCCTTTTTTTTTTTTGGTACCGGGGATCGAACTTGGGTCCTTGTGCTTGCACAGCAGGTGGTGAGACCACTGAGCTAAATCCCCGGGCCCCCCTAGATCCCTTTTTAAAACTAAAGCACACTTTCTCCAAATGAAATTTTGCAGGATATCATAAAAAAAGAAAAAAATAAGAATGGTCCAAGAAAGGTAGAAGGATAGAGCCCTTACCTCGTTACTATGCTTCCATCTCTTAACTTTCCACCAAGGATCTAAGCAACGTTTAAGGCTCAGAGAAAAATAGTTTCAAACCAGTTCTCCCAAATGATGAGAAAGTAATTAAAGCCATTTGGCCCGGGGATTTAGCTCAGTAGTTCTGGCGCCTGCCTTGCAAGCACAAGGTCCTGAGTTTGATCCCCAGTACCAAAAACAAATACTAAAGCTAAAGCCATTTGAAATTGATTTACTAGAAGTTTCATGATGTGTCAGTTTAGTGGCAGACATAGAACTCAACTCCAGAACTTTTGGTTTCAAATTTAGTCATTTTTCACTTTGCCATAGTGTCTAATAGTATTACTAACAAAGACTGAACTATCTAATAAGAAAGAGTTTTGAAGTATTTTGAGGGTGGTCTTATAGAGATGTTCGGCCAAGAACTAGAATTTTGGGTCGCGATTTGGTTGCCACGGAGAGGAGTTCGTGGCCTGGGAATTATAGCTGAGACTCTTGGGAGTGGATGAGACTGGCGAGGAAGAAAAGACAGTAATGGGAAGGGTCACTGAGGACACAGCCCAAAGGTGCTTTCTGATCGTCCATGCTACTTTTCCCAGATAGGGCTTTTCTGCAAATTCTTACCTGGTTTCCTAGGCAGAACCAAAAGCTTTCCAGTGTTTCCAACCAAAAATAGGGCACAGCCAGCAGAATCCCAAACAAGTGGGGGGATAGCATGTGAGGGGCCAAAAACAGAGCACGTAAAATGGGTGAATACTTTTTTTCCTCACCAACAACCCCCACACACATACGCACACATTCCTTTGTCCTTCTTCCTCAGGTACGTGTTACATGAGGGGAGCCCATATGTGCGCTCCATGAAGCAAATTGCAAAGGAAAAGCTGAAAGCGAGGCGCAACAGAACTGCATTTGAAGAAGTGGAAGAAGACCTGAGGCTGTCTCTTCACCTCCAGGATCAGGATTCTGCCAAAGATGCAGTGCCCGATCAGCAGTTAGATTTTAAGCAGCTCCTGGTCCGCTATAAAGGTAAAGTTCTTCCCAGGGAAATAGTACGATTATGCCACATATTTCTAGTATTTTTCCCCACCTTGATCCAGAAGAAAATTATTTAATGTATAGTTGTTATCTTTAATTCATCAGGTGAACAACCTTAAACTTAGAAAAATAGCAAGTCCAATGCATATTTACTTTATGTTGTTAGTATATTTGCCAGTGAGGTTTTTTTTCTGCTTATTAAAAAAAAAATGTACTCATTAGAACAAAATTGGGAGGTAGTAAATATAAATTATAATCTTGGGTGGCCAGGCGTGGGTGGTACATATTTGTCATCCCAGCACTTGAAGGCTGAGGCAGGAGGTTCACTGTGAGTTCTAGGCCAGCCTGAATTACATAATGAGACTCTCTCTCAATAATAAATAAATAAGCGCAAGGACCCAAGTTCAATCCCAGGTACCAGAAAAAGAAAAAATAATAATAATAACTAAATAAAATAAAAATTATATTCTTGAGCCAGGGATTTAGCTCAATGGTTCCACTGCCTGCCTTGCAAGTGCAAGGTCGCGAGTTTGATCCCCGGTACAAAAAAAAAATTATATTCCTGAGCATTTTATAACTTTTCATTATTTGATTTTAAATGTACAGAAAAATTTGCAAGACTGCAATAAACCCTTAGACTGCCCCAATTCACTGATTAATATTTTCCATTAATTGCTCTATCATTGGCTCTATGTGTATGTATTTTTTTTTTCCTGAATCTTTGGAAAGTACATTTCAGATGTGATGTCCCTTTACCCCCTCAGACTTTAATATGTGCTTCCTAAGAACATGGATATGCTGTTACATAAAAATACATTACAGTGGTCAAAATGAAGGCTTTTAACATTGATGCTCTTATTTAATCCATAGCCCATATCCAAATTTTGCCAGTTATCTCAGTAGTGTCCATTATTACTTTTTTTGGTCCAGGATCCTGTCCAGAGTCGTATATTGCATTTAGTCATCGTGTGTCTTTACTCTCCTTAGATCTGGAATAGCTCCTCATCCTTTATGTCTTTTGTGACCTTGACATTTTAAAAGATTATTCTGTAGAATGTCCTTTCATTTGGGTTTGTCTGATATTTTCCCATAATTAAATTTAGGTTGTGAATTTGGGGCTGAAATACCATAAAAATGTTTTTAATTGTTTATCAGGGGCACAAATGATGATTTACCCCATTCTCAGTGAAGTTAAATGGGTCTCTTAGTTAAGGTTCTGCCCTGTATATAGTTCCCTTTGTAGTTATGTCATTTTTATAGAGGTATTTGAGACTATTTAAAAATCCTATAATCTGTAAATTTTACGCAGTAGTTTTAGCATTGTTCATGGGATTTAAAAATAACAATTTAAAAACAAAACAAAAAAATAAAGTGGAGGGCCGGGGATTTAGTTCAGTGGTTCTGATGCCTGCCTTGCAAGCGCGAGGGCCTGAGTTCGATCCCTGGTACCAAAAAAATAAAATAAAATAAAGTGGAAGCAAAAAAATCCCATAATTTACCTAGGCATGGTAGCTCATGATTGTGGTCCCAACTACTTGAGAAGTTGAGGCAGGAGAATCGTTTGAGCCCAGGAGTTTGAGGCCAGACTGGGGCAACATAGTGAGACCCTGTTTCCAACAATCAGTTAATATAATAACATCCCTTCTGAGCATTTTATGTTGTTAGGTGCTTCCTCCTCCCATACCAATTTTCACTCAAATACTCTCTAAGCCTGTGTGGTTTTCTATTTGCATTAAGCTGGGCAGAACACATAGAATCCCCAAGGTTCTACTTTGCCTTCTCCTTAAATCTTAGACTAGTGACAGGTCTCAGCTGCCCTTAATATTCTCTTTTCCCTGGGCTTCTATCCCTGTTCTCTTTAACTTACCAATACTCTGGTTTCTCTTCAGATCACATAAATCTTTTGCCTTTTTTTTTTTTTT